TCCCCCTCCCTGGCAGTCTTGAAGCAGCAGCTGGACAAACACTTGCCAGGGATGCTCTCTAGGCTGAACCTGCACTGAGCGTGGGGGGTGTGTGTGGACATGATTGCCCTTTCCAACTCTAGGACTCCCATGTTCTGTCTAGGCTGGCCTTCAGTCCTCCAGATGCATCTGGTGTTATCTGACTGGCCCTCGTGTGCTGGTTCTAGAAAACAATTCTCGGGGGCAGCTACCTCCAGCCTGCCAGTGTTGGGAAGGTGCCTACAGTGTCGTCTTCCAGGGAACTTGCAGGCTGTGCTGTCATCCGTCGAGAACAAAGAAGAAGAAAGGAACGGGGCACCCCACCAGGGTAGCACCATCCGTCTGCTTTGGGGACAGCTACTGCAACAGTAAATCACCGTGTACAATTAAACAATATTTGTTGGTTTTTATATGCAGTATTGAGAATTCAATTATTACCAATAATACTATAATATGTTTTTTTTGTAGGCTACAACAGGTGTTATGTTTTAAGATGGCATGTTCTATCTTACACGCATGTTATATAACTTAGTTTGGAAGTGTTTGAAATGTGATGCTGTAGTTTGAAAGTGTTTACAATACACTAGAGTTGATGTTGTGCATAAAAAGCAAATATATTTAGCTATAAGTACATCTGAATATTGTGCTTATTATTTCAACACGGTGTTTTCTGTGTTTATCTAGTGTTGGGAAGGTGCCTACAGTGTCGTCTTCCAGGGAACTTGCAGGCTGCGATGTCATCCGGCGAGAACAAAGAACAAGAAAGGAACGGGGCACCCCACCAGGCTAGCACCATCCGTCTGCTTTGAGGACAGCTATGGCAAAGGCCGCAACTGGAGGTCGGGAATGGCAAAAGGGGGCTGCATGCCCAGAAGCCAGCAGATTAGACTGGCAACACGGTGCGAATGGCTGGCTTGCGACTGAAAACCACCACGGGCAGCAGCACTCTCTCTCTACCATTTGTCTGGAGACCAAAACAGAGCAGAAATCAGCAGCCAGTGTGGTGTGGCGGTTAGACCACTGGACTCGTCCCTGGGAGTCACGGGTCCAAATCTTCTCTCTACCACGGAAGCTGGCTTGGTGACCTGGGGCTCGTCACAGATTCTCAACCCACCCTCCCTCACAGGATTGTTATGAGGACCAAACAGAGGAAAGGAGATCGGTGTAAGCCAATCTGGGTCCCCGCTGGGGAGACAAGCGGAGTGTCAATGCAGTCAGTCAGTCGGTCAGTCCGGCAGTGGCAACCAATCCCGTTCAGAGTGCTGACAATGATCACTCATGTATGCCCCACACCCTCTCCCCCCACAGGGGACTCAGGGCGGCTTACAGCACTTAAAAATACAATCAATACAAACACAATGCAAATATAAATGCAACAAGGTAAAGGTAAAGGTTCCCTTGCTCAAAAGCCAATCGAATCCGACTCTAGGGTTGCGGTGCTCATCTCCGTTTCAAAGCCGAAGAGCCAGCGCTGTCCGAAGACATTTCCATGGTCATGTGGCCGGCATGACTAGACACCAAGGCGCACCGAACGCTGTTCCCTTCCCACCAAAGTGGTACCTATTTATCTACCTGCAATGTCTTGCTTTCGAACTGCTAGGTTGGCAGGAGCTGGAACTAGAGACGGGAGCTCACTCCGTCATGCGGCACACTCGGGTCTTGAACTGCTGAACTACCGACCTTCCACAGCCTGCAGTTCAGCGTCTTAACCCCTTGAGCCACCGCAGCTCCAAACAAATGCAACAAGCAAAACAATAAAACCAATTAAAAATCAACCTCGCAGCAATTTTTTGGGAGAAACAAAAGAAGTGGCCAGCTCCCCATTTTGTAATGTTAACCAAAGGCCACGTGAAACAGCAGCCTGACGTGGACGGAACGCTGGGAGATCCTGCAGGGCACAGACTTCCCCAGAGGGCTGATTCCGGGGTTGGCAGGCCAGGCACCTGCTGAAGGCCCTGCAGTGGACGCAAGGCAATCAGACTGCAGTGTGTGGGGGTCTACCTCATTTATGGCACGGAAGGCCCACCCACTCACATTCTGGAAGCCCAACATTGGCTGCACAAGGAATCTGCCCTCTTACCCCATGCTGCGGTGGTTACCGCTATGTGCCAGAACACTGTAACCCCAAATGGGCAGGACATAAAGGAAAGCCCCAAATAGGAGCATGCCCTGGAGCAGGCCTATCAGGGACACGGGGATGCCCCTTTACCCTACCTGGTGGTACTTCTTTAATATGTTGTGCATCTCGGCAACATCCTCACTCGATACAGCCTTGATGACAAAACGCCGGTCGTAGGTGGTGAGAAAATGGACCCCGCACCGGCCGTGGCTGTCAGTGTACACTGGGGCACTCCGCGTCACAGAATTCTACAAAGAGACAGCAGAAGAGGAAAAGGGAGGGGATGCACCAGCCACACCTTCCAGAACAGATAACCTGGTCCACGTCCAGTTGATGTGCTCAGTATCACACTGTGAGGCAGCAAAGTCTGCCCCTGAGCTGTGTGTTCCCCCTGCAGACAAAGGCACGCCTCCCTCCTTCTTCATAACCAGAGAGGGGCTGCCGCCTCGTTCCTTACCTGATAATCCTGATCGTCGATCCCAAACCGTTCCCGAAGATTTCGGAACACCAGGGGACAGTACTCCTTAAATTTGAAGCGACTGGGCAGATTTTCCCTGGAAGCAAGTGCAGAGATTACAATTTTAAGACGCTTCAAACACGTTCCAGATAGAGGGCCACCCTGCGCATTACAATGCCCTGAACACACTTGATTTTTTGGGGGGGAAGGAGTGCACACCTAAAAGATGTACAGCATGAAGGTAACACACAGCTGCTCACCAGACATACACATAGTTTATCTTGATTTCAGTAAGGCTTTTGATAATGTTCCACATGATGATCTTGTTGAAAAATTGGTAACATGTGGTTTGGATCCTATTACTGCTACTGATGGATCTATAACTTCTTGACAGATCATCATACCCAAAGAGTGCTTGTGAATAGTTCTTCATCGTCTTGGAGAGGAGTGACAAGTGGAGTGCCTCAAGGATCTGTCCTGGGACCTGTTTTGTTCAATATCTTTATCAATGATTTGGATAAAGGAATAAAGGGAATGCTTATTAAATTTGCTGATGAGGAGGGGTAGCTTATTACATTTGCAGATTGGGAGGGGTAGCACATACAGTAGAAGACAGAGTAGGGATACAGGATGATCTTGACAGGCAGCAAAACTGGGCTAAAACAAATAGAATGAATTTCAATGGGAATAAATGTAAAGTTCTGCATTTAGGTAGGAAAAATCAAATGCATAATTATAGGATGGGGGAGACATGTCTTGGCATTAGTATGTGCAAAAAGGATTTAGAGGTCTTAATAGACCATACACTGAACATGAGTCAGCAGTGTGATGTGGTAGCTAAAAAGGCAAATGCCCATTTTGGGCTATACCAATTAAAGTATGGTGTCCAGATCATGCAAAGTGATGGTATCGCTTTACTCTGCTCTGGTTAGACCTCACCTAGATTACTGTGTTCCATTTTGGGCACCACAATATAAGAAGGATATAGACAAGGTGGAACATGTCCGGAGGAGGGCAATGAAGATGGTGAAGGGTCTGGAGACCAAGTCCTATGAGGAAAGGTTGAAGGAGCTGGGCATGTTTAGCCTGGACAGGAGATATGATAACCATCTTCACGTACTGGAACGGCTGTCATATAAAGGATGGTGCGGAGTTGTTTTTTGTTTGCCCCCGAAGGCCAGACCAAAACCAAGGGGTTGAAATTATATCAAAGGAGTTTTCAGCTAAACATTAGGAAGAACTTCCTAAACATGAGGAAGAACTTCCTGACCGAGCAGTTCCTCAGTGGAACAGGCTTCCGCGGGAGGTGGTGGGCTCTCCTTCTTTGGAGGTTTTCAAACAGAGGCTGGATGGCCATCTGACAGCAGTGCGGATTCTGTGAATTTAGGCAGATCACGAGAGGGAGGGCAGGAAGGGTTGCCTCAGTGCTTAGTTCTTGCGACCCTTTCTTACATGTCCAGGGAAATGCCGATCGCCACTTTGGGGTCAGGAAGCAATTTTTCTTCAGGCCAGGCTGGCCGTGGATCGTGGAGTTTTTTTTTGTCATCTTCTGGGCATGGAACAGCAGCCACTGGGGGTGTGGAAGGGGAGGGATTTGAGAATTTCCTGCATTGTGCAGGGGGTTGGACTAGATGACCCTGGAGGTCCCTTCCGACTCTACGATTCTATGATTCTAAGGCTGGTACTGGCTGCAGCTACCTCCACAGCACACCCTTGGGGCCAAGCCTACTTCACTGCTGGGCTCTGCACGGGGCAATCCAGGCCAGAGATTCCAGGGAGGCAGACAGCAACAGGGGGAGGGAGGAGATGGGAGAGCGAGGCCTGGCAGGGAAGAGGGAGAAGCAAGGAGGGGCAGAGCTTGGCACCTGCTCTCCAACAGCCAACTTCTCTTGCTCCTGCTTCTGGGTTCAGCCTTAGGCACCTTCCCCAGGGGGAATAACTCAGGGCAGGGAGGGCAGGGATGGATGAATGAGTAGCAGGGATGGAGTTTGATCAGGTGCAAGATGAGGGTGACTCTGGAAAGCTCCGAGGAGGAGAGAGAGAAGCTGGATTAAAAGACAGGAATGGGGGGATTCGCCCAGGCACAGCGAGTGGCAGGGCAGACAGGTGTGGGAGCAGGAGCGGAATGGGGAGGGGATAAGGAAGAGGAGAGGAGGGCACACAGGAAACCAGACCTGTAAAAGAGAGGAAGTAGCAAAATAAGCACTAGAGAAGCAGGAGAAGCAAGGAGGGGCAGAGCTTGGCTCCTGCTTCTGGGTTCAGCCTTAGGCACCTTCCCCAGGGGGAATAACTAAGGGCAGGGAGGGCAAGGATGGATGGATGAGTAGCAGGGATGGAGTTTGATCAGGATACGCTGGAGGTGCAAGGTGAGGGTGACTCTGGAAGGAGGAGAGAGAGAAGCTGGATTAAAAGACGGGAATGGGGGGGGGGATTCGCCCAGGCACAGCGAGTGGCAGGGCAGACAGGTGTGGGAGCAGGAGCGGAATGGGGAGGGGATAAGGAAGAGGAGAGGAGGGCACACAGGAAACCAGACCTGTAAAAGGGAGGAAGTAGCAAAATAAGCACTAGAGAAGCACTCTGGCTCCTTCGCTTGCCCACTTCCTGGTTAGACAGAATGTTTCATGGCAGCAAGCAAAGACTCCTCTCAGTTTCAGACAAACCCAGGCAGACTGCTCATGTGGACTGGGGCACTTTCTTCACATAGCTATGGGCTTGCCTTCAGATGTGTTTGCCGTCTCTGTTCTGGCTGATGAAGAGCTCTACTGTAGTTCAAACACGCTATCCTTCAAAAGATGTCCAATAGAAAGAAGCCCACTTCTCTTCCCCTGTTTTGTACCCCTGCACACGCAACTGGTTTGCCTGAATCCCCTGTAATACAGGCATACACAGATTCTCCCTGACTCCCAGCCCCTGCACTTCTCCATCGGTTCCAATAAATAATTTAAATACAACCACTCAACCAGGTTTTTTTTTTAAAAATCAATACTGCTCAAGCTACGGATGGGGCACAAGTCTCAGAATGGCTCTCCAGGGGCAGAGAAGGGAAGTTTGCGACATCATTAGCTTGGAAACCAACACATAAACAGGTCATTCTGCGTGCTGTTTAAGAAGCTGCTGGATACTAAAACTTTCTCTCCGTTAAGTAAGGCACACCTAAGTTATAGACGTACTCTCAGATTTGACAAACCAAACACAACAGGCCCGTATGCTGCCGCTGTGAGCTAGAGCTCCTGGCTGAGGAGGGAAACTCGCCTGTCCTCTCTGTTTCGGCTGAACAGGAGACAGAACGGGACCCACTTGGGTATCCAGGCCTCCATTCGCATTTAGCCCCACAATGCTGAACTTAAGAACATAAGAGACGCCAATGTTGGATCAGGCCAAAGGCCCATCCAGTCCAACACTCTGTCACACAGTGGCCAGAAATACCAGGTGCCATCAGGAGGTCCACCAGTGGGGCCAGAACACTAGAAGCCCTCCGACTGTTGACCCCCCCCAAGCACCAAGAAGACAGAGCATCACTTGCCCCAGAGTCCCTATCTATACCTTGTGGCTAATAGCCACTGATGGACCTCTGCTCCATAGAAGAACATAAGAGACGCCAATGTTGGATCAGGCCAAAGGCCCATCCAGTCCAACACTCTGTGTCACACAGTGGCCAGAAATACCAGGGGCCATCGGGAGGTCCACCAGTGGGGCCAGGACATTAGAAGCCCTCCCACTGTTGACCCCCCCCCCAGGCACCAAGAAGACAGAGCATCCCTTGCCCCAGAGCCCCTATCTATACCTTGTGGCTAAGAGCCACGGATGGACCTCTGCTCCATATGCCTATCTATAAGAATAGATTATAGGGCGGCCCTTGACTGCTGATCTCCTTCTGCATTTCTCCTGATCGAAGCCAGGAGGCTTGCTTGTGCATTTCCACCAGAGAGATCGCGCCCTGACAAGTCGGCCTGCCTGACCTGGCTGAGGAGAGGTGGTCCTGCTCCCTGGAAATTGACCAAAACCTGCAAGACGAATGCAAAAGCCGCCTTCCT